AACAAAAATATTACTAATGCAAACAGCAGTAGTTTCGTGTTGCACGGACACATATTGCCCGTTACCTCCACTTTTGTTACAAATATAATGGTTATTGCAACCGCAACTGCCTTCAAGGCATTCTTCATGCATTCATTTGTGTGCAAGTGCCAATGTTTGTGCATGGATGTGACTTTCATGAGCTAAGTGCGTCACCTCGTCCAAGTTGTTGCTCCATGCAACATACAATGAAAGCGCACAAAAGTCATAAAGGGCGGGTTAGCCACATGCGGAATGCATAATCCCACCTAAAGTGAATGTTCTAAGCCGTAAAGCGTTCTTGATTGCCACTTTGTCAACCATTGTCGCTGACAATGTCCATTGGTCGGTGAGTAAGTCTTTATATGCATGCACACATACATCAGCCAATGTGGCAACATTTCTGAGATACTTACACACTGGACTCCGTTGGGCAAAACTCAACCATGTGCTGCTACGTTTGCATTGCTGCAACTGTAAAAATATTTCAAATACCATTATTGTACAACAACAACAACAATAAAAAAAGATCAATACTACACTTCCATGCAGTCACATATTCCGCTGTACACACTTCAACTACTTTCTTATTGTTGTTGTATTGGTCACTAGCTGCAACAGCAACAGCTCGAATGATGTACTTTATATGGTGCGCTTTAGCTAATTAATTCCCATTAAAACGTTCGATGCCGCCGTTGGCTGCTGCAAGAGATGTGAAACAACAACAACATTAGCACAGGTTGCAACAATAGTAGCGCAACAAAAAACTGCAACTTCAATAAAAATATTCACAGTTGTACATTATTATTGAACAATACGACTACTAATGGCGTGGCAGCAACATTGTTTTAGCGATTGTTGTTATTGTTGTTGGGTTTTATGCGTTGTTGTGTCACTGCTGTTTACCCATAAGTATTCGTTATTGCTGTTTGTTGCAGCAATACAATTAGTATTGTTGTTGTTACTTGGCTTATTTTTTGTTGTTGTGTTTTCTCTGATTTTTGCTTGGCATTATTTAAAATTTCGTTTTTCGTTATATTTGCTTACTAATGCGTCACTCCATTGGCATTGCTCATTACAATAACAGTGTTGTTACAATATTCATGTTGTTGTTTACTTGTTGCTGCCACAAATATTTTCCACCACATTTCAATTGAATTGTATTTCCGCATAACGACACCGCATTGTCGCCTGAAGAACATTTATAAAAAAATATTTTTTTTTAATTTTCTGACCCTGGCTAATTGTGCTAAAGCAGTATATTTGTGTAAATATGCCGCCAAATATCTCCTACTATATTTGTAAGCAGCTGGCGTTCTTTAGCTGCCATTAATTAGTATTCCACTTTTTGTTCTCGCAAAACATTTATCAAAAGCGTTTATTCACTCTATTCCAGCAATGCAATACAATTAACCAGAAATTCGCCTTCCAATCGCATACCCGAATACAATGTATTTGCTACTCGTGTGCGATAAGTGGCATAAAGTTGCCATTGCCCGACTCGTTTTGTTGCTTGTTCTTCCGGTTCTTCCTCAATTCTTACATAACTGTGATTTTTCATATTCTTCTCGTAATAATTCTTTCACATTTATTAATTCTGATATTTTCTTCTTTTTATTTCTGTCCTTTGCAGATCAACATCGCCGTCCAGTGCCTGAGTACGGACTTCAGCAGCCAAAAGGGAGTTAAGGTATGTGGATAACTTATCGAGAGTATTTGTAGAATTTAAGAGTAAACATTGTAACACCTTAGCGGCTGAATTAAAAGGCTTGTAACATTGTATTTAAAGAGGTGTGCACAGGACAGGAAAAACTGACCAAGTTCATTATACAAACGTTTATGAAAATAAACTTAAGTTGTTGTTGTTCCGTAAAATATTCTTATGAAATCTTCGATTCAATTCAGTGCTGAGTTTTAGCAAGAGCATTTAAATTCGGTGCACGATAAGTATTGTAGTTATTAAAGCCTACTGATATAAAATTTTTCCTAGATTCATACAACCTTTTTTATGTATGTGTGAAGTCTGATCTTCAAATGTATGTAATCCGTGCTTAAAGCTCTGTTAAAGCTTCTCCTTGAAGGTTTTTCAAAAAGAATTTCATAGCAGAAATATATCCGTATTTTTGACATTGCCCACAATTAGGCGACAACTATACAAATATGTTATATGGTTGGTTGAAGCCTCGATCAAACCTAGCTCCCGTTCAGCAGTAGTGCATGTCTCAAAGCACTATAGCCCTGTAGCCCACAATAAAATTATATTTACAAAACTAAAATATGTAAAGTAGATCTTAAAACTGTCAAAAATTAGTGTCAGCTTGAAAAGCTATATAAATATGGAATATACAAAATCAAATATAATTATGCAAAACATTAAACCTTAGGGTGCGGCAAAGGTATTTATTAAGACAAGTTCTAAATTGTGTGCCGAATAAAAATTGAAAAAGGTGTTTTTCGAAAACTTTGCACTTAAAGAAATTTTCGCCTACAGGTATGCTTCAAAGAGTGTTTAATATTATATTTACTTATCACAATAATCGTTGAGTTTAAAATGTTTTCAATACAAAGTTGGAAAAACGGAATTATTTGGTTTGAAAAATAAAACTGAAATATAGAAAAATATTTTTCATCTAAAAAGTACATAAAATTTTATGGTCATAGCAATATGAACGATACATCAAGCGTAGAGTGTTTAATTCTAGCTTAAAAAATGAGTATATAAAGTATACAATGCAATCGCTTAAGGGCTAGACCTTCAGGTTTTATATTTTCATCATGCATGTTTCAGAAGATCGGCGATTACATTTCTTTGATAACTTGCGCATTTTAATTACTATTTACAATTTTCATCACTACCTGCTAAAATTGTTTTGAAAGCAGTGCAGCAAGCAAACAAACTCAGACAAAAGTTACTACAATTTGTACAATTTTCTCATAATCACCCAACATTAGATTACACTAGCTACAAACAAAATGAACAATATCTATAACTCTATAACACAATCCACAGCTTGTTTTTTATTTGCCTTTTGTCGTAATACCCCTGCACAAGCAGCACACCTACCCTCAAATATTGCAGCTATACCCTCGTCTTCACTAATGATCCACGGTCAATTTGTGCGACGACAGTTGCGCACAAACATCATTAGGAACGCAAGGATCAATTTTTTTACTTTCACAATCCGCACAGGGTGCCTGTGTTTGTGTTTGGTGCACAGCAGTCAATAAGGTGTAAATCAATCAGGGCCCGAAGTGTAAAGGTGTGACTTTTCAAATTACTTAAGAGGATTTGAAATATCATGTTGCAATGTAATTAGAGGCAACAAAAAAAATAGTGAGTTAAAAAAAAAAACACCCGCCTGAAAAGAATAATGGAAAAATGCTGATTAAACGAAATGGAAAGTGAACAAGTGAAAAGAGGAAGGTTTTCTAATATAATTAACTTTAGAGTTTTGCTGTGTGGTGATAAAAAGATTAAAAAAGATTCACGCTTTTGTATTACACAACAATTTAACTATCAAACTCAGGCACTCTCTGTGATTTCCTGCCACATAAAGTACAATATTTAATGCGTTTGATAAAGCAACAACTGAAATCAAAAGGGACACCTGCAATGTAAAAAAATTAAGAAACAGACTTAAAGAAGTTTTAGAAAACATAATGATTTTTTAATAAAAAATAATGATTTTTGAAAAAAAAAAGATTTATGAAAAATTATTATTTTTTAAATAATGTACTGTATAGATTTTATAATCAAATATAGAAGCGTTAACAATTGGCGTATCAAATAATATTTTTAGGCCTTCAAACGCAGCAGTCAGTGGTAGATGAACAATATTAAGTATCAAACATAAAATAAAAATCCAAAAGAAAAAAATCCGAAAAAATATTCCTGCTCCATTTAAACATAAAAATGTAACGCGAAACTGCAGAGATATTAATTTTAAAATATATTAATGAATTAATGACAAATCGAATGTTGCAAGCCATAAACTTTCCACGCATAGAATTGCAAGAAAGTCGCATACCAATGTTGCTGTGGTTGTTGTTGTATGTTGTATTATGTTGTCACCTGCAAAAACTAAACGTGAAACTAAATATAATTTATTGTATATCATTTGCGTTGGGGGAAAGTCGCCAACACGCACTAAGAGCTGCGTAGAAAGTTCGCGCGCATGCGCAACTAAACGCACACACACATGCATGCACGCACTTTACGCAGGCGCAGGCGCAATTTTTGCATTTTCATGTGCAGTTTTTATTATTCGATTTACGCGATTAAACCGAGCTATGCTTCTTATGAGCGCTTTACAAGCGCTAGGCAAAAAATAACAAAACAAATTGCGCCTGAATTGGCTGACGCGTTGGTGCAGCTGGCGAAATTAAATCGAAATGCCAGCGATGACTGCCAGCCGTCTATAGCTAACGGCAAATAGCCAACGGCTACTGGCTATGGCAATACTGCATAGGAGCAATAGCAATAACAGCGTGGCAGTGCGTGTTGCACGGCAATTAATCGCCATGTCGCAGACAACATACACACACACACACAGGCGCACAGCGCTCCAGACTATAAAAATGAAATGTACGAATCAATTTCCGCTGTCTGTGACAAACGCACACGCGCAGCCACACAGCGGCACGCCCGACAACAGCGACAACAACAAAAACCATAACCGCCCAGTGTCGCGCAGAAAAAGCGGTCCGATTGGCGGTCACACGGCTCAACTGGCCCAGCTCGCTGCTGCGCTGGTTGATCCGGCGCGCCAGACAAGCTGGCCGCCACAGTTGTTGGGCAACAAAAGGAAAATTGCAACAGCAACAACAAAAAGTGTATAAACAACAACTAAGCGTGCTTGCCATTGACTTGGAAAATGTTTGTTTGTGGTATTGTTGTTATTATTATTTCTATTATTATTATTGTTGTTGTTCTTGTTATTTGCTGCAGCAAAATGCCCACATATTTCTCATTGCGCGACAACTTGTTGTTTCGTTGTGCATTTGTTGTTATGCGGTATTCGTGCGTGCAGCAATGCTTTGGTGAATTTGATTTTTTTTTCGTTGTTGTTGTTGTTGCCACATATTGTCACCGCTATTGCGGCAATGGTACATCCTGCATGTTGCATGCATCATCATTTCACTGCCATGCATTGCTAAAAATGAAACCGTTGCAGCGCAAACGATTTGTGGCATGTACATGCGTTATTCGAGCGAAACAAAGTAAACGAATGCAGCAACAACAACAACAAGTGAGAAGTAGAAACAATATTATCGGCAATGACAATGCGAATGAACGCGTTACAAGTAAACGACATGTTACATTTCTGTCAATAAGTGAGTGCGCAGTGGCAGCAACAACGACTTGGCAAATAAATATATTGATTGCACGGTACACACTTGCCACATTTGCCACACTTGCAACACATGTAAAGCTGGCAAATGCGTGCAACATGCAGCAAACACACGGTAACACTCTCAAAACTTGTCATTTTTAAGCAGACTTCCAAACAGTCACTTGCCACATTGGCCGCCATTGCATTTGTGGCAAACTGCACTTGTTGCACTTGTCGAGCGCAAGGTGCGCTGCTGTGGCACTAGCTTTCATGCTACACTTTGCACTGCTTTAGACACTTGTAATTGGTTTTATTGTTTTTGTTATGGTTTGTTGTTGTTATTGCATTGCTATAACACTATGCCACACCGGGCATTGGTTGCATGCATGGCGTACAAATGCAATCTGTCATGTCTGCTGGCGAGAGCGAGAGCCGCGCACGACCGATTTTCGAATATTTGATCAACAACAACAACAACAATGCCAATAAAAAGCAACAACAGCGTCAAAATGTGGACACAGAACGATAATAAATAAATAAGAGTATGTGAAGGACGAGGCGATAGCGCAAAAAATCGACTTGTAAATGACAAGCCGACCAAGAATGAGTGCAAATGTAACACAATTACAACAACAACAAACATCTATAAAACAACAAAAGTAGCAACAACGACAGTACAACTGTAACAACGTCGAACCATGACAACTACAACAATTTCGCATGTCAAAGAAATATTATTAATGGCTGTAAAATAAAGCACTCACACATAAATATACACATTCACACATTTACAGACAATCGTATATCAAAAGCTGCGAGTGTTGTTAATGAAAATTAAATTGAAAAGGGAAAAAGTTTTGCTGTTCTACAAGATACCTTGTTAATAATGACAACAACAAGCTGTGTTAGTAAAAAACAAAAATAAAATAAACACAATACTGACAACAACAACAAAGTACAAATATGCAAAATTTGCGGTGTTGCATAAAAAGGATTGACTTTGTTGACAGACGCTATAAATATTTCAATTGTTGATAAACATTTTGCGATCATTTTAAAAATTATGAAATTAAATTATTCTCTTTTGATTTTCAGGGTCTACCGTTGCACATTCAAATCGACACATTCGAGGATCCGCGCGATGCTCAGGTCTTCCATCGAGGCTACTGCCAAATTAAGGTCTTCTGCGATAAGGTAAGTGCGAACACACAACTATTATTGCTAGTTGCATGCAACCACAAGCGAGGTACTCGCGCACAAACAAAAAAACAATAATTTGAAATAAGCAGAACTTGCAACAAGTGCTAATGTCCGCTGGGGGCAACATGCGTGCAACAGGATTATGCATAATATTTAATCACAGCTTCAATGAAATGGCGGCAACAGGCGCTGTTGCTGGCGGCCAGTGACTGCTGACTGCCGAGCGCTGACCGGTGACTGGTGACTGCTGCTTGGCACCCAGTGACAGTTTCGGTAGGCGTCAATCAATGCCAAGTGGCAGCTAACATACCACATACTATTTATATGCGATTACATTATATTCAAGGGTCGTGACGTCCGTTACGCACTTACTTTTAAACGCATACAAACACACACACACACAGAGTTACTTATGCGGCTAGATGATCGTACATCCGATTTGGCTGTCATTTCGTCATCAGCGTCGCTCAAAAGGATTATAAAATCCAATTTTGCAGACATATTGCTTGCATGTGTGTGTGTGTGTGCGTGTGCGCGCCATGCAGTAGTGTGTGTTTACAAGTTTTTAATTAAAAATTTTGACAGCTGCGAATGTGAATGTCCGTGGCAAGTAGCCGCATAGCTGACACGCGTTCAACGGCCGCTTGCCGCACCTAACTGTACTCACCTAACCGTATGTGCCGTTGATCTGTTGCCTTCGGTTGGGAGAGGCAGCGCGCTTTTGATTTGATTGACAGCAGCGCAATACTTTTGCGCACGCAGCCATACAGTTAAAATGAAAAGTCTGTCACGGTGCCACACAAAAAAATAAACCAATTACAATTAAAATACATATACAATAAAAAAAACATTGTGTTGCAAATATTATTGCGTAAGCGGTAAGTGACAGCTATGCAGCTGCCACAGCAGCGCTTCATACACCACCATGCATCCTACTTCATCTTCTGCAGCCGCGCACTCCTCCGCATGCCACAGTAGACTGGCGCACAGCCGCGCGCATCAACGTCACTTCCTTTGCGCATTAAAGTTCGTTGCCAAAGTATTTCGTTTCGCTTTTGCCAACACAAAAAAAAGCAAAGCAACAACAACACAACAAAGTGGACACCAACTGCTCCACAATTGGTTGTTGCATAACAATATGTGCATTACGTGTGACCGTACGCTGCCGTCTGCCTGCTTGCAACTTGACAGCGGAATCTGTGTCGCCTTCACTTTTGTTGCCCTTTTTCGATGAGTATATATTTCAATAAATGCATAATAAATATATGCATATGCTTGTGTGTGTGTATGTGTTAAGTAGTTCACCACGCTCGCTTGCCGCTTTGACTGTCTGTCCAGCCGGTCCACCTTGCCGTGTGTCCATTCATGCCACACTGACGCGTAATGTCATTGAATCCATTGCGACATAGCTGCGGTGTCGTTGCCGTTAAACCCTTACCTGCTTCTTGTTGTTGTTATAGTTATGTATTATCATTAATTTTATTGTTGCTATTGTTGTTGTTGTTGCGCTATATGAAATTAATACCGCAATCAATGCAAAAGTAATACATGTTCGATAAGTATTTGCTTGTAGTAATGTCCACTTCGTTCCGCCTCGTGGTCAATCTCAGTGCTGTCGCCTAGTGCAACAGCCTACCTTTGCAGCGCGATCAAATGTTCGCCTACCTGATTTATTCCGTTTCATTCACTTCATTCACCGATAAAGTGAAATAATGATAGTTCAGAAAACGCGCAACAAAAATACTCAAAACACAGCAACAACAACAATGCAAAATCTCCCTCTTCTCGTCCGATTGTGATGTGTTGTTCGCATTAGCCTTTTTATATTTTATTTGGCAACAACGAGTGTGGGCGCCTATAGCAGAACAGCAAGAGCGGACTCTTTTTTGTTTTGTGGTAGAAAAGTATTTTTTCACATTTTTTCAAATCCACAATTTTGCAAAAAATATTTAAATTTCGAAGAGCTAAGGTTCAAGGTAATAATAGAAAAAAAGAGTTACAAGTATATTATTAATGCTATAATCCACTCAATATTAATATATTTATATCAAGTGCAAAACCTCCACACGAACTCAATATGCATTTGCAACCAATAACGTTGCCACAAAATATCTCGACATGCAAATTCCGCTGAGATAGCAAGTTTTCTACCAAATTCTCCCAGCAATATGTTTGTTGGTCAATATACTCACCGAGTTACAAATATATGGTATGTATATGAGTGGGCATCCTGAACCTCGAAACATCAACAGTGTCGCCACGTAACCGAAAATTTCAAACGAAGGCGCCGAAAAATGTTGTAAAAGGATCGACATTGATTGTCAGCAAGAGCGGAACGCTGCCAAAAAAAAAAAAATTTTTTTTGAAAGAAAACATTGTACAACAGCATAAGTGGCCAACACTGCGGCACCAAAAAATATATGCGACAACAACGGACAGCCGAAATTTAATAACAGCGACAAGTGTGACCTTAAAACTGCTTATCGGTTTTTATGCGGTGCCCACTTGCGGCATGCAGCTTTATACAACAACAACAACCACTAGACAAATGCATATGTGTACAAGTGCTTGTGTTGCCCCTTTTAAAAGTTACCAACGTTGACTGCAGCACTGGCGCGCCTACACACTTTGATGTTGCACGTTGTATGTTTGATTGCAGTTTTTTATTTAGTGTTTTTTTTTTGCAATTTTTTTGTTGCATTATTACCTTTTTTGCTTTGTATGTGGGTTTTTGGTTTTGCGGTGTATTTCTTCGTTGTCGCCCTTCAAAAAAGTGTCCTGTTTGCAGCAAAGTGCTTTAAAGTTGGCCCTTCACTTTTCGGTTGTCAAAATTTTTTAGTTTCAGTTTTTCTTTTTAATTTTCGTTATGGCTAATAGCCATGAATAAAAAACCTAAAGCGCAAACTCGAGCATTTTTATTATTTTTTTTTACAATTCTTACAGCTTGTTGCACTTTTGCGATGTTTTTTTGGTTTTTTATAATTGATTTTTATTTTTCTTTTTAACGATATCTCGCCAGTCACCAGTAATTTTAGTAAACAACTTAGTGATTGCTGCAAATTAAATAATATATTTTTTGAATACGAATATGCATGTTTTTTTTTCATTTTTCATTTTCACCCTCCGCGCAATTATTTGTATACCCTCAGCAAGGTATACTAAGCTTGCATGGGGTTTGTAACAACCAAAAGATAAAGTTGGCGATCGTATAAAGAATATACATAATAAATATAATCAGTCGAGCCATGTCCGTTTGTCTATCTGTTGTATGCGAACTAGTCCCTCAGCCTTTGAGATATGGCACGGAAATTTCGTAGACGTCATTTTCTCTTCACCGCTCATATGTCGGCATCGCCGATATCGAAGCACGATAACATAGCATATAGCTGCCATACAAACTGTTCGATCAAAAACTAGTTCTTATATGGTAAATTATTTTGTTTGACAGGGTATCTTCGGGAGTTTCAGCATACGGCGTTGCTCAACACAGCAGTAAAATCTCCGAAGAAATTATTCAGTTCCGACCACTATAGCATATAGCTGCCACACAAACTGACCAATCAAAATCAATATAAAGATTTTTAGTACCCTTTTATGCTATAAAAATTTCACCTGTGAAAGGTATGATATTTTCGGTGCAAATTTAACGTTTTTTCCTGTTTATTTTAATTTTATTTTTTTATCTTTCGCTTTGCTGTTGCATTAATTTCGCGACTGCAGCGGCTTTTATTATTACTTGCAGCATGTCATTACTGCGAAAGTATGTATGCCCGGATATAGTATGCTTAAGTGTTGCAGTTTTGTTGCTGTTGTTATTGTTGTACTGATTACATTGCTGTTCGCCGCGGTTACGCCCTGTAATTGCACGCTTATCGCGCTATCAATTATATGGACTCACACATATATGCTTGACCATGTGAATACATATATGTATTGTGTGTATATAATGTCTGTATGTACAGAAATAATACACAATAATTGCCCGCTTTGGACATACCAATCGCGCCCTATCGATCGCAAGTCGCAGAGGTCGTGCAAAGGGCTTTATTTTCGGCAGCGAATTGTGCTCGAAAATAAATTTGCAACTTCGTGCGAATACAGTATGTTCGAAGAAGTATGTACAAATATATTTACATTGTATACATAAAGTTACAACAGTAATAAAATGCAGCCGAGGGCGGAACCCTCTCATTTCTGAGCTGTGTTTAGCAGTCCATCATCAGCCGATTTAGTAATTGCTATTGTTGTTGCAATTTTTTGACAAATATTTTTCTCAGCTTATGCTGACTTTAGACGCACATGAGGAACTATACAATATTGAAATTTCTTCAAGTTATATATTTTTTTACCTCTTCTGAGCATTTTTTAGGGGCATACTTAATAACTGTATAAATTTACTTGATTTTTCTTAATCAGTTTTGATAATCTGATGTGACTTCCACATATGTATCATCTTCAATACCAATAGTGATGAAGGCTTAGAAAATTACATGCTGCTCTATTTAGCTGCCTTAAAAAGGCGCATAAAGAAATCTGCATGCAATCGTCTGTAATTTACACGCGTCTAAGTCAGACGCTTAGTAGTACGGCGCACAAATTATAGTTACATATATTACCTACGCAAGTGCGCTTGTATATTTGCTTCAAGTGATCTATGCGGCGCACTGCCCGACATCCATACCACTTGTGACAGCAATAAATTTCGGTACTTCTGCCACTTCACACACAAGCTCTGCCTACGAACAGCAAAGACATGGCACTGAAAATAGGAAACGCTACACTGCAACATTACTACATACGTAAGGCGATTATACGCGCGCTCGTTGAAATATACACCGAACGTTGGCGCGGCCATGAGAGCGGCTAGCGCGCCTTACCTCCGCGCATAGCGGCTAATTTCACAATCAATATCGCAGCGCGCATATCAGTATCGGTAACAAGAGCAACAGCAACAATATCAGCACGCCAAATACACACAAAAAAAATAACAAAAC